CCCTGGATCCCAGAGGAATTCACTCGTTCCCATTTTTTAATTCCAATTTTAATATTTATTTCAAATTTTGTTGTGGTTTAAATTTCCTGGTTTTTATATTTATTTCAAATTTTGTTGTGGTTTAAATTTCCTGGTTTTTATGGGGGCAAAAAAAATCTGAAATTCTCCTTGGAATTAGGAGTGAAATTTTATATTAAATATTGAAATTTATATTAAAAGAATTCCCATGGAAATCTTCATCCTCAAATCCAGGAATTCCTGCTGGGATTTCTCCAATTCCCAAAAAAAATCCCAAATTCCACATTAATTAATCTCCAATTCCCAAAATAAAATCCCAAATTCCACATTAATTTCCACATTAATTAATCTCCAATTAATTAATTTCCACATTAATTAATCTCCAATTAATTAATCATCGCTGCGGTTCCCTCAGTTCTTTTTTGGGGTGGGAAATTCCCGTTTTAGGAATTCCCAACTTGGTTTATTTTGATTTTTTTCCCTTTTTTTGCCCGTTTTCCTGGCATTTTGCAGCCCTGCACCGCGTCCTGCACCCGACGGGGAGGTTCCAGCCTTTGTTCTCCACGCAGCGCCTCGATGTAAATTGGGATTTCATTCCTAAATCTCAGCAATAAATCTGATTTCTTATTTTCATTTCAATTCTTCTTTTCTTTTCATTTTATTTGAATCTTTTCTATTATTTTAATTTTATTTTTCTTTTATTTTTCATTTATTTTTCACTTATTTTCATTTATTTTTCATTTATTATAATTTATTTTTCATTTATTTTTCATTTATTTTCATTTATTATTCATTTATTATCATTTAATTTTCATTTATTTTCATTTATTTTTCATTTTTTTTCTTTTATTTTTCATTTATTTTCATTTATTTTTCATTTATTTTCTTTTATTTTTCATTTATTTTCATTTATTTTTCATTTATTTTCATTTATTTTTCATTTATTTTTCGTTTATTTTCATTTATTATCATTTATTTTTCAATTATTTTCATTTCTTTTTCTTTTATTTTTCATTTATTTTCATTTCTTTTTCTTTTATTTTTCATTTATTTTCATTTATTTTCATTTATTATCATTTATTTTTCATTTATTATTATTTATTTTTCATTTATTTTCTTTTATTTTTCATTTATTTTCATTTATTTTTCATTTATTTTTCATTTATTTTCATTTATTTTCATTTATTTTTCATTTATTTTTCATTTATTATTCATTTATTATCGTTTATTTTTCACTTATTTTCATTTATTTTCATTTATTTTTCATTTATTTTATTTTTCATTTAGTTTTCATTTATTTTCATTCATTTTTCATTTATTTTTATTTATTTTAATTTTATTTTTCATTTATTTTCATTTATTTTTATTATTTTCCCCCAGCAAAGCCAATGTTGATATAAGCAAAGAATTTGGAAAAATGGGATTTAATTGATCAACTTTTAAATCTTTAATTATAATTATATATATTTATACGTTTATATATTTTTATATATATCTATAATTAAAATATTTAATATGATTTTAAATATATTATATCTTATAAACAATTTTAATAATAATATGCTAATAAAATATATTATATAAATCATAATATATTAATTAAAAACATTATCCTCTACATTGATATTTAAATATATAAATTACAAACACCTACTTAATATTTTTTAAAATACTGAGTTTTAATTACAATAATTTTACATTATAAATTAGTTTTACATTATAAAATATGTTCGAAATTAATTTTACATTGTAAATTAATACTCACACGTTTTGCATTATAAATTAATATTCTAGGTTAAATCAAAGTGTATTAATTGACATTGGAATTTATAAATTATAAATATGCAAATAAGGAAAAAGGAAGTTTTATAAATTAAATATGCAAATAAGGAAAAAGGAAGTTTTTTTTGGGATATCTATAAATTAACATTGAAATTTATAAATTATAACTACAAAAACAATGGAAAAAGGAAGGTTTTTTGGGACAATAAATATAAAAACAAGAGAGAATAAGTTTTTTTTGCCTTATCTATAAATTGACCCTGAAATTTATAAATTGCAAAGATACAAATAAAGGAAAAATGAAGTTTTTTTAGCACAATAAACATAAAAACAAGAGAGAATAAGTTTTTTTTGGGGGATATCCACAACCTGCACACTTTCCTTTTCAAACCACCCTCACTTCCAAACGCACAAACATCACCTAGAGTTAATTTCTCGAGGATTTAATGACAATAAAAATTAATTAATTACATTTTAATGTCCCCACAGGCCAACGGCAGCTGGCAGGACGCTGCCACCCCCTCATCCATCACCTCCCCCACCGGAGACCCGGGAAGCGACGCCTCCAATTAAAACATTTTTTTAGGACCTTTTTTAACGAGAGGAGAGAGGTCAATTAGCGTTAATTAACCGAAGTTGCAAGAATTATTGACTCACAATTAATTAATTACCTCAGAAGAAGCCAATAGATTGCGATGGCAGCGACACCTCTACCTCTCACCGACTTCTTGGCCCCGCCGGGGACCTGAAATTGTTTCCGACTTCATTTCGCCTCAGCAAATTCCGCTTTATTTTAAAAAGGAAAAACTCCACTGATTTCCACACGAAGAAAATAAAAAGTCTCGATTCCGCTTTATTTTAAAAAGGAAAAACTCCACTGATTTCCACACGAAGAAAATAAAAAGTCTCGGCGTTCGTCTCCAGTTTTACAGTGGAAGAAAACGGATTTATTTTCGTTTCCGACCGGTTTGTTTGGTTTTATTTTACTCTGGGATTTTCTGTTCTAAGTGAATAGTTCCAGTTCAAGCCTCCTCCCCGTATTGTAATTGTATGTTCTCTGTATTGTAATTTTCTATAGGGAATTCAGCTTTTTCTTAACTAATTTAGCTAATTAAAGAGAACGTTGCTTTACCAAACTTCCCACCGGATATCGCTCGCAGGTAGGATCTTCTGCCGGTGTCGTTCCAAGGGATTTCTTAAATTCCACGGCTTTACTTTTTCTCATGAAAAAGTAAAAAAAAAAATAATAAAAATAATAAAATCCCCCCAAATTCACCACAAAACAGCCGAGAAACACCGGATTTCCCCATGGGAATTCGAGGGGGTTTTTGCCATTCTGGCGCTTTTCAGAGTCCGCCCCTTTCAGTTAAGATTTTATCAAAGAAAATAAACTTCCAAAGCCTTTTTTCTTTTTTTTCCTTTTTGGCCTTTTTTCTGATTTTTTTCCCCTCTCTCCGCGGGCGGGAGGCGGCCGAGGTTCGTGAGGGGTCGAAAAAGAGCGGGAACGTCGTGAGGGGCGAAAAAGGGCGGGAAGATCGTGAGGGCAGGAGCCGCCCCGCGCCTGCGCCGTGATGGCGGCGAAGCCGGAGGGGGCTCTGCGCATGCGCAAGTCGCTGAGGGCAAGCGGGCGGCGGGAAACCGCAATGGCGGAGGCAGCGGCGGAACCCGGCGGCTCCCCCGGTCCGGCCGCTGCTTCGTCCTCACGGGGCTCGGCCGGGCCACAGGAGGGCGAGGTGAGAGCTGGAGGAGCCCGGTCCGGCAGGGGGAGCCGCGGGGCGGCCGCGCTTCCAGGCCTTTAAGGTTTTTTCCCCTCAGCGATGCCCCGGCGGACCCAGCCCTGAGAGCGGAGGGGCCGCGCCAGGTAAGGGCAGGGAAGGAAACCGCTGCTTTCGGTTTTGGGAGGAGTTGGTTGGGATTTAGGAAGGATTTGAGGTTTGGGAGGTGGGGATCCCCCTCAGGTCCCCGCAGCGCTCCTGGTCCGCCCGCTTCAAAATAAAACCATAAAAACCGCCTTCAGCGCTCCGAAATCCTTGAAAAAAAAAAAAACATTTCCCCTCATAAAACCGAGAAATCCCGAGTGAGAAGCGCAGCCAGGGCGCTTTCCCCTTTTTAAAATTTCGCCTCTTTTCCCCTCAGATCCGGACTCGGCAGCGGATCCTGAGGCGATTTTGAAGCTTCCCAGACAAGAGAAAAAGCCGAGCCCTTCCAGCAGGAAGAGAAGAGCCGAGAGCAGCCAAGAGTTGCTGAATTCCTCCGCTTTGTCCCCGATCGCCGCCGCCCCTCAGGACAAAATCCGCTTCTGGCACCGCTCCGACCTCGAGCGGAGGCGATCCCGCCGCAAATCGCTGCCCCCAGTCCACCAGGACGTCACCGGTTCGTATTTCCAGGCTTAATTAACGCTTAATTAGCCTGATTTTTAATTAAAATCCTTTTTTTGGGAGTGAGGATTGCGGGAGGTGCTGCGCTGAGCCTTCTGTCCCCTGAGGATTCTCTTTTTTTCCTTCGTTTTTGGTTCTTCTTTTAACCCAATTTTCAACTTAATTGTGGCTTCTCCTCTTTCTTCTTCCCATTTTCCCCTCTTAATCCTTAAATGTGACTTTTCCCCTTCATTTTTCCCCGATTTCCCCCATTTTTTACCCTTAAATGTGACTTTTCCCCGATTTCCCCCATTTTTTACCCTTAAATGTGACTTTTCCCCTTCATTTTTCCCGATTTCCCCCATTTTTTACCCTTAAATGTGACTTTTCCCCTTCATTTTTCCCCGATTTCCCCCATTTTTTACCCTTAAATGTGACTTTTCCCCTTCATTTTTCCCGATTTCCCCCATTTTTTACCCTTAAATGTGACTTTTCCCCTTCATTTTTCCCGATTTCCCCCATTTTTCACCCTTAAATGTGACTTTTCCCCTTCATTTTTCCCCGATTTCCCCCATTTTTTACCCTTAAATGTGACTTCTCCTCCCTATTTCTCCCAATTTCCCCCCTTAAATTCGATTTTTTTCTCCTCCTTTCCCCCTTCAATTTGATTTTTCCCACCTTTTTTTTTTCCTGCTTTTCCCACTGCTGCTTTTTGGGGGAATTCTGGGTCAAATTCCAGCTGTTTATTTTTCTGAATTTCACCTTTTTTCTTTTTTTTTTGTCCAGATTTGAGCCAATCCATCAGCCTGGAGCTTCCCGAAGTCCAACGTCTCTTCCTCCTCCTCCTTAACAGCTTCAAGGTAAATTCACCCAAAACCCTGGAATTCCCCCAAAATCCTGGGAATTTTTGGTCCTTCCACAGAAGGAGAAGTTCCTAAAAACCTTAAATTTCCCCCAAATCCTGCAATGAACCCAAATCCTGCAATTTTTGGGGCTCTTTTAAGGGCTGGAGCAGCACCTGAAAAATGATAAAATTCACCAAAATCATGGAATTAACTCAAAAAAATCCTGGAATTTACCAAAATCCCCACAAAAAAATTCCTTGCATTCCTTTCCCCGACCCCTTAAACACAAAAAAAAGCGAATTTGGGCTCATTTTTCTTCCCAAATCCTTGTTTTAATCCCCAGAAATTCGGGATTAAAGACAATTTTTCCCGTTTTTATTGGATTTTTCCCCGTTTTCCCCTCAGTTTTCCGCCCAGAAGTTGCAGAAGGATCTGGAAAAATCCGAAGGATTCGACCCCGAGGCTTTCGCTGCCAGAGGTGGGGATTTGGAACCTCCAAAATTCCCAAAATTTGGGGTTTTCCCCCCTCCAAATCCCAAATTTCCAACCCCACAAAGGCGTGGGGGGGACCTCAAAAAGTTGGGAATTCGGGGAAGAAGCAATGGAGTTAATTAGGAATTAATTGGTAATTAATTGGTAATTAATTAATTAATTATTAATTAATAATTAACTGACTGGGGGGGTCAAAAATGGTCCTGGATGCTCCCAATTCCCAAAAAAAAATTGGGGAGTTTGGGTAAAAAAAACAAAAATAAAAGGTGGGAAATGACCATAAACGGTTGATCCTTAAATTCCATGAGAAAATAATTGAATTAATTAATAATAATTAAGAGTTAATTAATCATTAGATGATGGTTAATTGGGGGAGGGTCAGGGCAGGCCCCTGATTCCCAAGAAATTTGGGAATTTTGGCCGAAAAAAAAGAGAAAATGGAATTCATTAATAATTAATAAACTACGAAATAACTAATAAACAACATTAATAATTAATAACTAATTGATAATTAATCAGTAATTAATTAGGGGGAGGAACAGCAAAAAAAAAAAAAGCCCTGAGGGATTCCTGGCTCCTCCAGACTCCTCAAAAATTCAGGAATTCGCCCAAAAACCATCAGGAAAACGAGGGCAAATCCCTAAATCCCGCAAAATTAATTAACAGCTAATTAATTAGGAACTAATTAATTACAGGGGGGGTTTCTAATCCTGGTTTTTTCCCCCCCAGTCCAGGTAAAAACCGAGGAATTCCGGCGGCTGCTCCAGAGGCTGCTCCTGGATGGGACCCTGGAGGATTGCGTGGAGCCGCCCCCGGGGTCAGGATTTGGGGCAAAATCCCCCAAAATTTGGGAATTTCCAGGCTGGGAGGGGCCAAAAATCCACGGAAATCCCCAAAAAAAAAAAATTGGGAATTTGGGGATGGGTTTTGAGGCAATCCCGGAGCTTTTCCTGTGGGGATTTTGGCTGGATTTGCCCTGAAATTTGGGAATTTGCCCTGAAATTTGGGAATTTGCCCTGAAATTTGGGAATTTGCCCTGAAATTTGGGAATTTTTTGGAATTTTTTGGGTCCTTTTGGGAATTTTGGCTGGATTTGTCCCGAAATTTGGAGATTTTGGCTGGATTTGCCCTGAAATTTGGGAATTTTTTGGGTTTTCTCTGGATGTGCCCCAAAATTTGGGAATTCTTTTGGAGTTTTTTGGGTCCTTTTCCGCAGGGATTCCCTGGATTCGGCCACGGAGGCGTCCGTGGTGCAGATGAAGGAGCGCATAGCCAGGTGGGGACACCTGGGGACACCTGGGGACACCTGGGGACACACCTGGGGACAGCTGGGGACACCTGGGGACACACCTGGGGACACACCTGGGGACACACTTGGGGACACCTGGGAACACCTCTCAGCACACGCTGTGAGTGATGGGTGCACTGCCAGCT